CTGGTTTGCTCTTGAAAAACTTCACGTATTTGTTTTCGTATCTAAAAACATCAATGAACAGAAACAAAGTGAGACTCGAACAATGGGGGAATTCAACAAAAACATACAAAAATAATCTACCTGTTACTGTTAGTGTAGCCTAAATAATAATCATCCTAAAGTATGTATCGCCACCTGCTGGACGGCGCTCGATTTCTCAAAAAAAAACAAACATCTGAGGTTATTACAGTCCAGGACTTTATAAGGTTAAATGCTAAAACTCATGTTTTTGTTTTTTTCTAGAAATAAACCGACTAGAGTGATCAGATATTAGCAGTTTAAAAAAAAAGAAGTAACGGTGCAGTAACGTGTGTGAAGAAACAGTCCACCTACACTGGCACTTCCTCCTGAGGTACGTAACCGTCCTTCACTTTCCGGGGTTTCCTCCATGTTCCATCAGGACGCTGTGTTGCCGCGATATACTTCCCTGGGGGAACAACCATTTGATTAGCATCATGCTAACTTTGACATTAGGGGTTCATTCAGTCTTTTTATCACTGCATTACTTTTACACTCAGCGAGGGCGGGGTCACATCCTGTCCATCACAGGGACACGGACTCATACTCATTTTAAACCAGTGGTTAGTTAGTGTGATCAATTAACCTAGTTTGGTGGCATGTTATTGACCGCGCACACACACGGAGAACATAAGAACGACATACAAAATAAGCTGCAATTGGAAACAAGTGATGTTCTGAAGAGGGCGACACTGCCCCCGTGTGGCCAACTATTGTAATTGTGATACTTTTAATTGATTCTATAGGAACGATTATCTGATAAATTACAGGGAAGATATGGATTATTAACGATTAATCATGCCTATTGTTTTCACGATTAATTAATATATGTGTATATTATTATTTTTATTGTTTCCGATTGGCTGCTACCTTCGTCAGAAAATATCTCATGGGCAAGAAGATGAATAATACTTTTGTCAAATTAAAAAGCAGATAGATGGCTTTAGTGATCCTAAACAACTAAATAAAACCCAGAAAACTAGTACATTCTGGTTTTAATAATGTAACTTGTTGAATACCTTTCTACCTTCGCTGCAGATTTGGTTTAAACTTATTTTATTCCATTACTATTGGTGACTCTACCTTGAATGGTAGCGGGGTTATAGATATTTGTGTTTCAAAAAATGAATTACAACTGTTGCTTGGATTTTTGAAAAAACAAAAACAAATTCCTAATAATAGTTTCAGATCAAAACAACGAACTTGATTTAAAACGATGGACTCTAAGGGTGCGTTTAAGTGCCATGTTTTTTTTTTTAGTCAGTGCAAGTATCACACCTTACAGTTTTAGGGATGTATAAACACATCCCAAATAGAAACCAGCGCTCAGGAAAGCGTTAGCCTAACGTTAGCTGCTGCAGCTAACACTAGCATAGGTTGGCTGCCGAGTATGTTAGTGTTGATGATACTTTTGGATGTTTGAAATCACCACTTCAGTGGTATATGCACTTCGTTTGTTGGACAAGGATTGGTTTATTAGGACAAGGCTCTGGGAAACAGAGCATTCTTACCAGATTCGTCTGTCACATAAGGGGTTGCCATTTTGACGAGGTGTTCCGCTGCTGTTAGTGCTCGGCGCCTCAATTGTCGCGCTGTTACTGTGCCTCCTCAATTTCCAAGCCGGGGTGTTAGAGCGCACACACAGTCGGATAACTGCAGCTATTCAAGCATTTGTTCTAATGTGGCGTATTCTCTCCATGCATCTGTGTTCATTTGAGTTGCTACACGCGGCTAAACGAAACGCATGACCCCGGTTAGCAAGCGAACCACGACCGCTAGGATACGCATGGAACCGGTGGATGCTGGGTACCAAATCAAACAAACCCTGTGTCTCGACTTCGGAAATGACGACGTGGATTTTTGGGTTGCCATGTTCTAATGTTTAGATGCTTAGCGCTGTACTTCGAAGTATTCTGTTACAACTTAACTCATAGAATAGTGAAAAGGTCTCAAGCTTGAAAACGTATCCATTGTACGTTCGTATTCCTGTGTTCATTTGTATCTAATATTTTCCTGTGTATATTCCTAAACACAAAGATGTACCAGTTGAAAGTGCATGCAAGCGATCAACTCCATGGACTAAGTGGGGGTACTTTTGGCCTTCTTTTTGGTCCGTGGTCACAGGGGTACTTTTGGCCTTCTTTTTGGTCCATGGTCACTAGCATGGTTTGTTTTATTTTGTAGTAGACGATGCTAAGTGTCTGTGGATCCCTGGAGCAGATAATCAAACACGGCAGCATACCTCCCTCCCCCTTAAAACTGCATTTTATTTGCATTTTACAGATGTCATGTAGTACTTAAGTGATTGTAAACGTTCTGCACATGTAAGACCACAGATAACAGGTAGAGCTGCAGGTACAACTCAGTCAGAAATGACAAAATTATTGCCATAAATCAATGGCAATCCCCCTCACTGACTGTCTAAAAAATATTAGCGATAAGGAAAGTAACATGCCTTACATTTATAAAATGGGTCAATAAATAAGTAGGTATTATTCAACTATAAATATAAGCACTAATACAGTTTTCTCTATATTAGTTTATAACTCTTTTGTAGTGGTCTTTTTTTAAGCGGTGGTTATAAATACTATGTTTAATGCTCAGTTTTGCTTTAAAAGGGGGGGTTGTTGAAGAACAGATCTGGCAACCCAGATGGGGTCGTCTGGAGAAAATTCTGCCAACAGCAGACTACTTGGCATTACAGAAGGCTGGCTGCAGAAGCTGCGGTAACCTCTGTGCTGAATCTGCTGTGCACTTTTGTCGCCATCACAACGTAGGTATTTTCATTCTTTTTTTCTTTATTTTTTAAAGAAAAAGAAAAACTAAAATAACCAACCAGTGCTTGAAAGCCCAACATTGCGGTGTTCTCCTATCGTTCCAATTGAAGTGCTAAGTGTCTGGTTAGCTTTACAACAAGACACTAAATAAAAAGCCAAATATTCTGCTAGCTGCGCGTTAGCTCAGCCCAAAAGGCTACCTGTGTGACGGGGGGTGTTTTGTGCTTCTTGTTGCATTCTGTCTCTATCAATGTTATTGTACGGTCTTTTCTGTGTTCTTTACATTTCACTGCGTTCTATCACGCAGATATGTGCAAAGCTAATCATATACCGTTAGCAAGCTAGCGTCAACGTAGGCTGCAGACTGGAGCCAGCGGCTCAGAGAGGAAGCGGTGGCGACGCTGCTGTAAAAGACGATTTGAGTCCAGAACCAAACACGTCTGAGTCGGCTTTTAATTAAACGGCGGCTCGGTGATCTTCAACACATCGGTCTCTTCGGTCATCCATCGGTGTATAACTGTCGGTTTGCCACCTGTCTGTCTGGCCGTTGATTCATCAACGCAAACTTAATCGCAGTTGTGATTTAATTATTAGCGGCATTTTTCTTTTAACTGTAGCGTTAGCTCAACACATTCCCTTCGCTGTCATCTCAGTTGCTCTTATGTCACACAAGGACAAGATAGGACGAGGACAGGTTATACAAAGCAGTTGGTGTCGTTAACGGACGAGAACCGGTCAAAAAAAGTACATGTTATATTCACAACCACCGTGGAGATAAATTATTAGAAAACCTACATGTAAATAAGTAAGTTAAATAGGTTAATTTTTCCAAACTAGTGGTCAGTTTGTGTATGATTATTTGCCAAATGGTTCCAGGAGTGGAACTTACCGCATCAGTCAAATCATTAAAAAATAAAACATAAAAAATAAACCATTTGTCTAAAAAGCTAGGTAATACCATAACTTGTAGCCGTGTAATACTTCAATAAGCTGCACGGACTAGTTGTGTATTTGATGTATATGATAGTACAGTATATTATTCTAAAATGTAAATATTATTTTGGGTATTATTTACCAGTGAACACCATATGACCTCATGCCAGAGATTGGACACGCTGGTTTGACATTTGGTGCTGGTTGTCAATCTGAAAATTAGACAGATTGATAATTAATGAAAATAAATGTTTCTTTTTATGTGTCCTGTAATGTTACCAGGTGTAAGGCGGTATAATTATTGTTATATGTGTATCCATTACTCAAGTAATCCTCCTTTCCAAAAGCATCAAACCCGGCAGGTAATCCGGTTTAAACCTGTAACTCGCCCAGGCTAAGGCTGCAAATACAGTCTAAATAATAACAACAGTAATAATAATAATAACACTCAGGTTTTATAGTCAGTGGCTGAAATGCCTACATTCCTGCCGCTGCGGCGATAATCCCTGTTTGATTTGACTGTATTTGTGTTTTTTTTATGCAGATGATAACCTCATTATGATCAACTGTGTGTTGATTTACGCAGTGATTGGAAAAAA